TCATTCTAATATGTAATCAATATACAAAAATTATTAAAGAGATGTTTTATATTCTTTTTTCATACTAAGGCTTGAAAATCCAGGGGGTATTTTATTTCATTTATGTATATTTATTATACTTTAAGTTCTAGGATACATGTGCACAACATGCAGGTTTGTTACATAGGTATACATGTGCCATGTTGGTTTGCTGCACCCATCAACTTGTCATTTACATTAGATATTTCTCCTAATGCTATCACTCCCCCAGCCCCCCAACCCCCGACAGGCCCCTGTGTACACACACACTTATTTCTAAAAGAATTAATTTTTATTACACAAGCCGATTATCTTTGGATAATCAAATTTAAAACATGACATTTATGTGTAGAGCCCTTTTTATCAGCCACCACCCCAAATCCTGATTTTCTTCAAAAGGTAACCACTGTGATCACTTTGATATGTATTTTATGACTTTTAAAGAATTTACATATGTATACACATATACACACAATACATGTATATGCTCACACTGGTAGGATAGTTATGTAAGAAAATAAATGGTATTTATATATCTATATCTGTACCTTGCTTTATGCCAACAACATGTCTTGGGGGTTATTTCCCATGCTGGAATGTTAAGACCTACCTCTTTCTTTTCACTTACTGCATAGCAGTTCACAATATGGTTATACCATAATTAATTGCCCTCTTATTTGGACATTTAGCTTGTTGCACACTTCTCAACTACAAGCCATGCAGCAATGAACTCTGTAGTGCCCTTGTGCAAGTGATTGGGCAGTGGTTTTCACTGTGGCACCCAGACCAGTAGCATCTGCATCACCTGGGAACTTGTTAGATACAAATTCTTAGCCCTACCCTAGACTTACTGACTCATAAACTGAGGGTGGGGCCCAGCAATCTGTAGTTTAACAAGCCCTCCGGTGAATCTGATGCATCATAAAATTGGAAAACCACTGGCAGGTATGTCTGTATGTACAGACATACATGTGTGGATACAGTCAGTTCTATAACGTAACATATGTGTTCTTAAACACCACTGTGCTATGCAAAAGTATGTACTAAAAGGCCACAGGGCTTATGAGAAAAATGAGGTTGGGGCACAACAGTTAAAAACTTTATCAGTGACACATTAAAAACAAAAGCTGGGAGCCCAATACAGATGATAGCGCGGTTTTATACATGTTAAATGGGTAAATACACAAATGCTACAGTAAATATGGCACCTTCCCTTGAAAAGACCAGGAGTTTGCTTGTGTCAGTTGGTATTGGAGGGGTTGTCCCCTGTGAGTTTTTGGGTAGCGGCGGAAGGAGGGTTACATGAAATTGGAAGGTAAGTTGGTTTCACATCAGATGTGGTGAGTGTGGCTCCTACCGCACGTGGTGAACTGAGGCAGTTGGTCATGTTGAGGTGTGTGCGTGTGTGCATTTTGTGTTTTCCTATATGGCTCAGTCCATTTGGGTGCAGTTTTCTGCTTTCTCCTAGCATTTCTTGTGGATAAGCAAATGGGAAATTGGAGTTATGTTCACATTTTCCCCCAATGTATCAATTTCCTTGGAATACATTTGCCTTTTCAATACAGGTGTCATAGCTGTATGTATGGATGCTGACTCTTTTGCATACATTACACAAAATAACTCCATACACTGTACTGAATGCTGTTTTTCACTGAATATTTCTTAGAGCTTTTTCCATATCGCCACATAGTTACTCATTTTTTTTTAATGGCATTTAAAGCATTAAGAGATGACTAAATTGATCTCCAAAATGCTTGCAACAACCTACACTCCCATCAACATGCTTCCTACACTTTGGCCAATATGACCTATTATCACATTTATTAACTTTTGCCAACCACTAATTAAATGTCTCTCTCCTTCCTCTCCCGCCCTCTCCTCCCTCTCTCTCCTCCCTCACCTCCACAGAGACATTTACATTGTGAGGAATGCCTCTCATAAGTACACTGATAGAAAAAGAACTTTAAGAGTGTGAAACAGGTGGTGAGGTGGTGTTGAAATGCTAAAAAAAAAAAAAAAAAAAAAAAAGGAAATGGATATGAAGAAAACATAAAAACCTATTAAAAAGGCAGAGAAAAGGAATTTCCTTTCTACTTATTTTTCACTTCCACCTTTGCTAAATACATCTTATCCACTTTATGAGATAAGATATTGAGTTGACCCTGTAGGGATTCCATCTATCACTCTAGCTGGTTGACGTCTCCAAAAATGCAGCTTACACTATTAATGCATTCACTTCAGCAAAACATGCCTAAGGGCATCAGATTCTTCTGTTTATCAGTATTGGGTTCCTTGGCCCCAACAAGCTCAGCAGATACAGCTGAACAGAGTGATGTGATGGCTTCAGCTCTTGAGTCTGGGGCTTCTAACAGCAAAAGTGACAGAAAAAGTGGCTCATGCAGGTGTCAGATGTTTTCCTGTAAAGAGGTTGGCAATGGATGTAAATGCTTCCAGCTGAGCACATTACCAGGCAGGATAAGCCATAATGATTTAATAATGAAATCACATTGGTTTATGATCATTGTTCTTATTAGGAAATATCATTGCTTTTTGATGATTTATTATGTGAAACTGAGTTTTCATATAAACACTGTGATTTGCATTTATATGTAATATATATTTGCATATGTATATATATCTGAGTCAGAATGACTTACTAAAAGTAATCACCAAAAAAAAAAGAGGATGCAATATTGATGTAAATATGCCAAAAATATTTAAGGAAGTGTAGAAATTATGAAGATTATTATGATGTTGCCGCTTCAAAATAATATTAGATGCATTTTCCTTTATGTGAAAATGGCAGAGAACTAGTAGCCGGAACAATCTCTGTTTTGCAATAAGGCTTTTGCACCTTGAAATCACAAACTATGATATTATTAATAAAATATAAAGAACATATATGAGGGTTATATAGAACCACCATTTCCCTTCTAAATTAAGGACTTGCTTTCCTGTCCTCGTTTCTCCTCATGTGTGGAGAAATGGAGAGAGAGAAAAAAAGTTTGGAGGAGAGAGAGAAAATGGAGGAGAGAGAGAAAAAAAGAAGAGGGAGGAAGAACATTTTGACTTATAAAAGAGCTTTCAGTCTCATAGGGCCTAGAACAGTTGCTCTGGAGCAGTGAAGGACACTATAGAAGGCTTCTCTCTCTCTCTCTTTGGTCATGATTCTTTGCTCTATCAGCTGTGATGACTTGTAAGTACAGTTCCTAGGATCAACCCAGGGTGCAAAATTTAGTGGTGAGTTGCAAGGCCAAAGCAAAGCGTGTCTCTCACTCATCTGCACTCAATGTCAGGTACATAATTTGGGAAGCCCAGTGCAAAATAAAAATGTGGGGCCTCTTGTTCCAAAAGCAGGAAAAAATGCCATTGAGGGTGCTAAAATATAAAGCCTTGCCCTATCTTTCATGGCTTTTCTCTTTCAACTTGTCATGGTATTGTTTTATTTGCTATTCAATGCTATTATAAGAAAAATTAAAGATGTAAGTCATTAGCATGAGTGTTACTTTTCATCTCAATATTGTGCAATGTCAGTTTTAAATGCAAACATAAGAGCATTTAACTTGTATGTGGAATCACCAAAATTACACAGTTTGTATTTTGTAGCTTGTTTGTGCATATGTGTTTTGTTCTTACCAGCATGGAGGAAATGCTGAACAAAACTCAACTTTTTATTTCACTTCTTAATACATGTTCATTCTACCAATACTCTCTACCTTTGGTTTACTGATGAGTAAGGAAGGACTAAAAGGAAAAGAAACTACAGGTTATTGTATAAGTCTGTTCTCCCACTGCTAATAAAGACATACCTGAGACTGGGTAATTTATAAAGGAAAGATGTTTAATGGACTTACAGTTCCACATGGCTGAAGAGGCCTCACAATTATTGTGGAAGATAAAAGAGGAGCAAAGTCATGTCTTACATGGCGGCAGGCAAGAGAACTTGTGCAGGGGAACTCCCCTATATAAAACTACTGGATCTCATGAGACTTACTCACTACCATGAGAACAGTATGGGGGAAACCACTCCCATGATTCAGTTATCTCCACCTGGCCCCACCCTTGACACATGGGGATTATTACAATTCAAGGTGAGATTTGAGTGGGGACACAGCCAAACCATATAATTCACCCTTTCTCTGTCCTTTTATGTCATCATTTTCAGTGTAGGTGTTTGGCCAATACAGTGAAGTAACAGGTATGAGAAAGGTTATGACAGGATTCCTTGGACATTCATGTTTCTTAGAATGCCACTACCTTCTTTTGGTCATTGAAGCAAATTCTGGTTCGAATGAAAAGTATGGCCTCTTAGGGCTATCAGAGCTTACTCAGTTCTAGATGTATCATATTTACCTTGTATTTGTTTGGCATCTCACTAAACTCCTACGCACTGTGGGCCTGATGGAGTCCTGTGCTCCTGGGGCATTGTGAATGCTGTGTGAAAATGGGGCTCCTAGGAACAGCAGACACATATTGTGCACATTTTCTCTGCTCACACACACATGTTCCATTGTCTCCTCGGGCTCCACTAAAAAAATACAAGTTCAAAGATAAAATAGTTATGAATTTCAAGACACTGGCAGGAGAGGATTACATTAAGTGCAGAACCCTTCTCTGTGTGGGGCCTGTGTGACTACACAGGTTGCACGCCCACAGAGCCAGCCCTTTCTGTATCAGGCAAAGCTGCTGGAAAGCCTGAAGCCTCATTAGCATGCCATGTATGAAGGAGCCCAGCTCACAGCAGGCTGGACGGTGCCAATAGTGTACCAGTGCAAAATAGTTTCCCTGAAACCATTTAATACACTTATTTCAAACTCAGTTGAATTGATATCATTGAGACAGCTAGGTCTCTTAGAGTGCTCCCAGTGCCAGGAGGAGTGTCTTTGAGATGGGTCTTTGAAACCTCAAAGTTATAGCTAGAACCAGGTACTCATCATTGAATCACTCTCTCTATATCTCTTAACATTTTTTCTTTCTCATAGGATTTCCAGCAGGAGAGCTCCAGAAGCCTTTCTTTTGGGGAACAGAATATCCTCGGTGAGTAAATGAGTAAAGAAACCAGTTACCAATTAGGAAGAACATGTTGCTTTGGTAGAGGACAGAAGAAACAAAGTCAGTGGTTATTCAGCAGAAAGATGCCATGGAATCTGGCATGGGTCGGCTGTACTCTTTTTGGGTATTTGTTTTCTGATCCTTATTACCAGGGTGTATGACTGGACAGGAAGGCCAACTTACACATAGGTGGCTTTCATTTTTATGCATTTATTCTCTTACCCATTAACTCATACTACCAGTATTTGGACATTGAAGGATTGTTGGGATTTGAATTGATGGGATGAGTCTAAAACCATTCCAGATAGAAGAAACAATGTGAGATAAGGAGGAAAAAGTGTTTCTATAATGGCAGAGTCTAGTTTGGCTAGCCAAATGGTACATGAAAGGAAGTAGTGGAAAAGAAGATTGAGGTTTGATATTGGAGGGCTCTGCATGTCAGGTAAGGAGCTTGGATACTAATAGGCAATAGAAAATATTGAAAGTTTTGAGCAAGTTAGATAATTGAATTTATCTTTAGAAACATAACCTAAGAGAGTCCTTCTGACTCTCATCTTCTGTCTCTCCCTTCTACTTATAAGGACCCTTGTGATTACATTGGGACCATTCAGATAATTCAGGATAATCTTCCTGTTTTAAGGTCAACTGATTAGCAACCTTAATTCCATCTGCAGCTTTAATTGCCCTTTATTGTGTAACATAACATATTCACAGGTTCCAAAGATTAGCATAGGGACATCTTTTGTAGGCCATTATTCCACCTACCACATGTGTGTTACAAAGTCAGTTATCACCATGGGCAACTGGAGCTCAGTCTTGCTGGGGAACTGTAAAACATGCTTCAGAGTGATCCCACCTCAGGCACATGGGAGCTGGGGTATTTATCTATCCTCCAACTCACCTTCCATCATTGATTGAGGGCTCCTACCAGGGGTACCTGGCAGTGCCCATCCTAGGCCAAGAGGGCTCTAATGGCTGGAGAAAGTCCTTAGGCAACTAGTTTCAGGTGCTGACATTTGAAGGCTGTCAGATTGGTGCGCTCAAAAATAGGGCTAAGAGGACATGGGCAGTCATCGATAAAGCTTACTACAGGGAAGCACCATTGTTAGAATAAATAAAAATTCCAGGATCTTATTTAACCAAATCCATTAATAATATCCCAGACCTCAGCTGCATAGTTTTCTTTGATGTTCAGATGTTTGGAATCAATTTGCCCTGCTTTTAAGTTTAGAAATATATATAATATATATTTCTATAATATATAAAAATTTAATATAAATTTACATTTATATAATATATATAAATTTAATATAAATTTTATATTTATAAAATAAGTATAAATATATATTTATATATATATTTCTAAAAAATTAAAGGTTTAGGATATTCTTTAAGTTCCCTTCAAACTAAAAAAGTCCTAGAATTCTTTGATTCTGCTTATTGTTGACAATTTAACTGAGCTTCTATTACCGTGATTATATAGCTGGAGATTAGGAAATAGTCTGGTTAGATTTTTGGAGTTATTGATTAAGTGATTTGTTTATTGGGTCTGTGAGCATGATTTTCTGATATAAAAGCTAAGATCATCGAAACATAGGAGTTAATGTTAGTGTCTATTTGTTTGTACCTTAGGCTAGGTCATAGCTAATACTTGAGTGTGAAAGAGAATTTTTTTTTCCTAAAGACTTCTTTGTCCTCATCCACTTAATGAATAGCTATTATGTATCATTTGGGTTCCCAGCATTGGGAATATGAAGATGCTAAAGACATGGGAGTCACGGTCCAGTGAGATGGCTTCCCATACGTTCATCTATTCTGTATTAATAAATGGATAGCCTCCAGAAACAAGCGAGTGGGTATCCTTTCTGCTCACAGTGCTCAGCTTAGTCCTCACCTGAGTGTTGAGTCCAATTATGAGGCATGAACAAGTTGAATTATTTCCAGAGGAAAGAATCAGGACTGTAAATAGTTGAAGACAATGTTTCTCAAAGTGTGTGTTCCATGAAATAGTAAGAGAGGTAAGTCATCCTCCCCTTCCCTCAGTTCTGGGGAATCATAATAATTATCACCATAAAAGTTTCCTAGAAGCTCTGCAAGAAAGAAACCTATTTAGATGTGTTTAATACAACTACCTTTTTGGTACCCATTAACCATCCCCACTTCTGACCCCAGCCCCCCACCACCCTTCCCAGACTCTGGTAAACCATCCTTCGAAATGTAGAGGTTCCCAAACTCCCCTGCGTTTTGGGAAATGCTGATCTAGAATTCATGACTGAAGAATAAGAGTTGAAAGAACTTAATAACACTTGAAGGGGAACCTCATAACTGTCTGCATATTTTTGAAGGAAAGTGAAGGTGATAGAATGACTTATTATATTCAGGAGATTCAGCAGGTGTTCAGTTAGAGGCTACACTAGACCAATAGATGGAAGCCATAGAAAAGACATTTCAGATCAGCATTATGGAGAGCTATTATGTTTAGACCTGCCCAAAGAGGGAATGGGTTACCTTAGAAGGGGATGAGCTCTTGGTCATTGGAAATACCTAAGCAGAGTATTATAACCATTTGAATGGGTTTTTCTAAAGGGGGCCCATTCCTCTAGTAAGAAGTTAGACCAACCATTTGAATGGGTTTTTCAAGAGGGGACCCATTTCTGTAGTAAGAAGTTGGAGTAGATGACCTCTAAGCCGTTTCCAACTCAGAAATTTTTATGAATTTATGATTCAGGCATAGGGCAACCCTTACTTGATAACAGTGTGAGTTCATGGTTAATCTAGACAGCAGTATAGTTGTTTTGTTGTTGACAGCAAATCTGTGTGCATATGTTAAACCCACTGAATAATAAGAACAAAAGAGAAACTGAGTAGGTAGTAAAAGTGGTGTCTTCTCTATTTTATTTTTGCAAGACTAGATCTTCAGTGCAAGAAATCTTCCAGTTTCTGGCCAGCCAGTCACGGTTGCATTTTAAAAGGGAGAGTTTATTTTTTTATGCTTATTTATTTATTTATGAGATGGGGTTTTGCTCTTGTTGCCCAGGCTGGAATGCAATGGCGTGATCTCACTGCAACCTCCGCCTCCTGGGTTGAAGCGATTCTCCTGCCTCAGTCTCCCAAGTAACTGGGATTACAGGCATGCACCACCATGCCCAGCTAATTTTGTATTTTTAATAGACACAGGGTTTCTCCATGTTGGTCAGGCTGGTCTCGAACTCCCGATCCCAGGTAATCCGCCCGTCTCAGCCTCCCAGAGTGCTGGGATTACAGGTGTGAGCCACCACGCCTGGCCAATGACATGCTAATTTAAATACTCTTCATTGATAAAGTAGAGGATGTGAATCTAATATTATGAAATATTATTATTGTCAGGCTTAGTCATATAAAATTACTTTTTCTTTGTCTCTTGTCCAAAGGATTGTGATTAAGTAACTGAGAATTGAAACTTACAATGATTCAATCATTTTCTGAATTCTCTATTACCTTTTGCAAATAGGAAGCTTGTTGGAGCAGCCCCTCTTAAAGGACATTCATTGCACAGCAATTTCTATAAGCTTCCATTGTTCATGCCTTCAATTCATCCAGTCAACAGCATTGACTGAGGGTTGTAGAGGACCAAGTACTTATTCTCAGAGCTGAGAGACCTGGAAAAACTAAATGTTGCAATCTGCACACTGATAGCTACTGCCTCAAAAATTAACACTATGTAAAATTACAAGTTTGTCCCACACTGCCATGATAGCTCTATGATTGAAATGCATAATTTCACTCTTACTTCTTTAATGAAGGTTTGCAATGATGGAAAAACAGTAGGAAGCATTTTTTTTCAAATGCAAATTACCTTACGGGAAAGAAATAACAAAGGAAAGAATTGCCACCAAGGGGAAAAATGAAATCTTACACCACTTCCTTGGGTGTAGTTGAGACAAATAATTAGCATGGTAAGGATCATTATGTCCTGTAATAACATGCCACTTTAAAAATTTCCATTCCTTCCAGTTATGGGTCCGATCTATTTGCTGGGTGACTTTGATGTTGCATGTCAGGAACTAACTGTGAGATATTTTTAGCATTATTGCAAATCTCATGAAGAATCTTCACAATAAGGATTCTAAGTGGTGTGTAATTCTCATCCACAGGTTAAATGACTAAATTAAGATACATATAGATCTGTCACTTGCATGAGATGGTAAAGTTAACTAATCAATTAGTTAAATCATTGTTACTTTCTTACTCTGCACAAAGTATAGAGGATTTACCAATGAACAAGTAGATAAGGGAGTGGCCTCAATAGAACTTATATTTGAGAGAGAAAATCCCAGGCACATATATGGAAACCTCATTATTGATTTCTTCATATATTCTTAATATGCTTTGCTATGTAACAAAGCACCACCAAGCAACCATTTATTAGCTCATGATTCTGTAATTGGGCAGGACTGAGTTGAGACAGCTGGTCTCTGCTTTGTATGGTGCTGGCTGGGGTCACTTAACGAGGGCTGGAGGATCTAAGGCGACTTCACTCACCTGTCTGTGCCCCGGTTGGGCTGGCTCTTGTGGCTGGGGCATGGCAGGGCCTCTCTCTCTTCCTTTGGAGTCTCTCAACTTCTGGGGTTTTTCGCTTTCTTCATTTGGCCTCATTCCCTCTAGCTGGGTAGTTGAACTTCTTTGCAAGTGACTTCCAAGAAGGTGGAAAATGGAAGCTACTTTCTTAAGGCCTAGACCCAGAAGTCATACCTGACCCCTTCCACTGCATTCTATTGGTCATAGCAAGCCCTAAGGCCAGTCCAAATTTAAGCAGAGGGAAATAGATTGCCTCTTGATGGGAGGAGGGGATGTGTGCATTCAGGGGTAGGTAGAATTGTTGGTGGTGCGTTTTATAGATAATCTACCACATGCTTCTTCAGAGGTGAAGAGAAATAAAGTGGCACCTTTTTCAAATCTTTGCTATTCAGTTGTCATCTTGTCTACAACAGAAAGAGGAACGTGACTACCTTTGAAAATAGAGTGATCCCTTTTAATCTCTACTCTGTTCCTTTTTTTATGACTACATTTGGAAAACAATTTAACTTCTAAGATTATAGTGACTTCTCAGCAAGTTTCCAGATAAAAAATGAATTATATATTTACTGACAGGATCTTTTCTGCCCTGTTTTAGGTGTTCATAAATATATAGCTACAGCAGATATAAAATCATAGAAATCTTAAGGCTGAAAGGGACTTCAGAAATCATATCTTTCACATCCCTAATTTCACAGAGTAGGGCACTATGGTTCATATGTGGTCATAATGACAATGTTAGAATTTGTATTTTCTTTGCCTATTTCAATTGGAAGGTATGTTTAGATTTTTTACAGCTTTTGGGTATGGTTATTAGATTGTTATTACCATGGTGACTAGAAAGCAGTTTATCTTGGCTTTCCATTGAAAAAATTAAAGGATTATGCTCTGAGATTCATGCTTGTAATTGTCTCCAAATTATGTATTTATGCCATAGATCTCTGAGTTATGGTGCTATAGGAGTAATTGTTGGACATGAATTTACACATGGATTTGATAATAATGGTAAGTACTGGTTCATTTTCTAAGCTGCTGCTTTTGTAATAATGTTGACTATATGGATGTTAATTGTTATGATTGTCTTTGCATAGCAGCAGCATCATAGCTTGAAGATTATCCAAAGCAATATGATTGCTGATTGAAAACTTTTCCTCGTGTCTTGCTGTGATGGCTTGCAATAAATAAACAATTGTTCCCATTGGTGATTGGGGTAGACTTTAAAAAGCAGCCTTGTAATTTCAATAAAATTAGCTTTGCATTTAGATCAGGATTGCTGTAGCTGCCACAATAGTTACAAGGACTGATTTATAGCTTCTCCCTTTGTCATTTATTCATCGTCTTGAGATTTTCTCCCTGGAGGAGCAAGCTCTGCTCCAACGATGATTATACATGCTGCCAAGTTAGGACTTGCTGAGTTAGGACTCTGGAGCTTGTCTGACTGATTCCCTTTTACGATTTCGAAAATTATGCAATGCTTATTCTCTATTTTTCTCTATACTGGCTTATATTCTGATTATTATTATTATCATCCTTATTGAGACAGAGTCTAGCTCTGTCGCCAGGCTGGAGTGCAGTGGCGCGAGCTTGGCTCACTGCAACCTCAGCCTCCCAGGTTCAAGTGATTCTCCTGCCTCAGCCTCCCGAGTAGCTGGGATTACAGGCATGTGCCACTATGCCCAGCTGATTTTTTGTATTTTTAGTAGAGACAGGGTTTCACCATGTTGGCTAGGATGGTCTCGATCTCCTGACCTCATGATCTGCCCACCTAGGCTTCCCAAAGTGCTGGGATTACAGGTGTGAGCTACCGCGCCCAGCCTATTCTGATTATTTTAAAGTCTATACTTTCCTAATAATCTATGTAATAGTATATACTTTGTATCCTGATGACATTTAAACAAAAGGAAAAAGCAGAATATGACATAAACTAAAGAAATGGCTTCCTTTGAGAGTCCTCATCATTGTTGATCAGCACTCTTCTCCTTTAACTTTGGAGTATTATTGGAAGGCCACATGAAATCTCTGAAACTTACGGATTAGTAGTAAATGACTATCACATCCACACCCATACAATGATTTACAGGTAGTCTCAGGAACCAGCTGCCCTAAGGCAACGTTATATAGAAGGGGACCTCTTTCTTCCATCCCTGTAGTATCTCCAACATCCTTTCCTGGATGCCTACCCCAGGGCCAGAGACCCTCTGGCTCTTCTAGAAAAGTCTTCCTGTACTCCCACCAGCCCTTCCTTAATCACCTAGATTTTTTGCTCCCCTGGTCTTCCCTTTTCTGTTAAAATGTGGCTAACTTGTAGTTATCTGACTCTGCAGAGCTAGACTTTCTGCCTTTGGGTGTTTGGTTTATCTGAGATGAGAGTCTTAGCTAAGAAATAAAAGCTAATAGTCCTTTCTTCATTCTGGGCCTCTCGATAGGGAATTTAAGTACAGTTCCCCCCCAGAACCTTCTGGAGAACTTCTGGAGTCTTTCTCAAAGGACTGAATCTAATGGTGGCAATTTCACTCTGTAACCAATGCTTAGAACAGTGCATTGCACATATAAGTACGTGCCCGGTACCTATTTAATGATTGGTTGGTTAGTGGGTACAGGACAGTGACTCCATACTATCCCAGGGGGTGGTGTTAGCAGTAGGTAGCCTTGCTGAAGAGTTTTGGATTGTTCCAATTAACAGCTTTACTTAGGGGACTTTTTTTGTAAGCTGTGTAATTAAATTTAAACGATGCCTCTGATTCTCATAGTAACCTTGAATATAGAAGACAGTCTAGCAGCATCCAAATTTTGTTTCAAAGGATGTAGAGAAAATGAAGAGTGAGCACATAGCAAGAAAGCATGTATAATCTTTCTTCCCGTTATGTTTTGGAGATTTTCATTCTTATTCCAAGTTTTCTTTTTAGAGCAATCTTCCTTGTCTAAGTAGGACAAATGGGTCTTCTATCCACACTAGTGGCTGTGGAATGATTCATAACAGAGGTTTTATGTGTCTTTCAGCTCCTGGCAACTTGGAGGAAATAGGTTCTTATAGGGCTGAGTCAGGGTCTATGATCGCACAGTATGGATGACTCACTGGGGCTATTCCTATGGATCGTTTGGAATTTCACTGGTAGTAGTGCTCTGATTGCCTCCATGGGCTTTCTGAATGAAGCCATTTTATTTCATAATCCAGTGAACATTTTGGGTCAAATCAGGTGAAGACACAGAATCCAAGATTGGATAAGACTAGTATATGTAATAAATTGATGAATCTCATTTTTAAGGTGCTCTTTGTTCCTTAGAAGGAAAGCACTTCCTCAATTGTCTTTATCCTTTTCACCCTTTTTACAATTAACCTGTGACATTGGAGAGAATGCAGGAGCTGATCTCAGGAAGAGTGTTCCCTGCTGTTATGACTGTTTTTTGAAGGCTTGTCGAGGTGAGGGAAAGGGAAGATGAATTTACTTTCCATAAATAACACAAATGTCTTCGAACTTTTTTTTTTTTTTTTTGCTAGGTAGAAAATATGATAAAAATGGAAACCTGGATCCTTGGTGGTCTACTGAATCAGAAGAAAAGTTTAAGGAAAAAACAAAGTGCATGATTAACCAGTATAGCAACTATTATTGGAAGAAAGCTGGCTTAAATGTGAGTACAACTGTAGCTAAGGGGGCACCTTGTGGTTCATTTTTCCTCATTTGGACATTAGCTTGCTTTAAACCATTGGTTCTCAAAGCGTATTTACAAGATCAACAGCATCTGTCTTCCCTGGGAACATTCTTGAGTCCTACCCCATACCTACTGAATCAGAATCTTTGGGGTTGGGGCCTGGTCATCCCTTAACCAGGCATGAACTTTGTCCTGATATATTGCTAGGGCTGGAAAAATACCTCAATCCTTGCTATGCCTCAAATCTATTATACTTGTAGATGAATTTAGGTAAAAATCCATGTGCTGCTCTTACAGGGAATGTTTATAAACACTGACTTGGTTCTCCTGGTTCTTAAACCATGCTCAGCCCAAGTGAGACCACTGCTCATTCAGGCAGAGAAACCAGAGTCAGTATCCTTGAATGGTGTCTAGCACTTTTATCAGTGTCCTGGACAGCCATTTCTCTACCTATATTTTTTAAAATATCTACAACTGTGACATGTGAAGACCTAAAATGGGTGCTTCTGTGTATCTCTATATAGTACAGGGGTTTTCACAAATGTGAAAATTTATCTGGAGTATATGTTGCTTCAAGGAAAGCATACAGAAAAGGGTTCTAGAGTCAGACATGGGTCCAAATCTAGGTTCAACTAGTTTTATGAACTTGGGTAAGTTACTTAATGTTCCTGAGTCTCAGCATCTTCATCTGTGAAATGGGTCAATGTTTCTGAACTCATTGATTTGTTGTAAGAATTAAATGAGCAAAGCAATGCGAAACACTAGCACAAAGCCTGACACAAAGCAAGTGATCAATGAAAGATAGTTAATATTCCTGATCCTTTGTGAGATACTCATTAGTACCTTATCCCAGGAAAAAACTAAAGCCAAAGATTTTTGGGTTAAACCCCCTCCCCCCAAAATAGAACAGTTTTCTTGGGGGAAGGGAATTTATATTTCCTTTTGATTATTATATACAGGCACGAAGATGAAACTTTTCACTTAATTGAAACAAATGTATCCCCATACTAGCCCTGAGAGATACAGATATTACTAAGTGTACAGGTTTTACATATGAGGGTCAAAGAAATTAAACTGAGGTTCAAAGAGATTAAAACCCATGTTAGAGTCTAGATTAGAGTTTATGTCTGTACGACTCCAAAGTCCATACTCCTTCCCCTATATCATGCTCGGGTTCTTATTTTAAATTCATTTTCTATCTGGGTGATGTGTGGGTGGACTGCTCTTCACCATTCATTTCGGCCCAAGTGTCAGAGATTGAAACTTAATTCTGACAAATGTGTACCTTTGTCACAAGGACGATAGAAAGGGCATGCCTGTCTTAGCATAAATCCACTTAACCATCAGAAAACAGCTTCAGTTTCATTCCCACAGGAGAGTAGGTGGCTTCCTTTGTGGTTATAAGGGCCATGCTTTATTTTTCTGGCTTCATTTATAGGAGCCATTCCTTTGTGCCTGAATCTTGCTTTGTAATGAATTCGGGGGAGCTCAGATGGGGCACTACAGATGCAGACTGTCAGCAGCTGTTGAGTCTTTTGTTGTTGTTGTTCCTTTTTGTAGCTGTTGAGTCTCGAGAGTCCAACCTAGGGCCGTGTGGTCTACTGAGGCAGACCAGAGTTCAAGGAGCCGGAGGATGAGGCTGCTCCAAAAGGCTCTATTTTAGATATAAAGCTTAGACTGAATGGCTGGGCATAGTGACTCATGCCTGTATTCTAAACACTTTGGAAGGCCAAGGTGGGAGGATCACTTGAACCAAGGAGTTTGATACCAGCCTGGGCAACATACGGAGACCCCATCTCTACAGAAATTTTTTTAAAAAATCAGCTGGGTGTAGTGGTGCATGCCTGTAGTCCCAGCTACTCAGGAGGCTGAGGTGGAAGAATTGTTTGAACCCTATAGTGAGATGTGATCAAACCACTGCACTCTAGTCTGGTGACAGAGAGAGAGAGCCTGTCTCAAAACACACACACACACACACACACCTCAGAGTAAAAAGGAAGGAGATTAAATTTAATCTTCAAGAGCCAAGAGGAGTTAGGACTTGAGAAGGTAGCATATTAGGAAGCAAAGGCTCTGGAGGCAGAAGACTGCTTGGGTTTGAATCCCAGTGACATGCGAGCAGTTTACTTCATCACTCTGACTTAGGTTCACTAGAAGCAGAGCCCAAGAAGGGGTTCCTTAGGTCATTGATTTTTTTGAGACAGTGTCTCGCTGTGTCACCCAGGCTAGAGTGCAGTGACGTGATCTCGGTTCACTGCAACCTCTGCCTCCCTAGTTCAAGCGATTCTTCTGCCTCAGCCTTCCCAGTAGCTGGGATTACGGGCGCCAGCCACCATGCCTGGCTAATTTTTGTATTTTCAGTAGATACGGGGTTTCCCCATGTTGGCCAGGCTGGTCTCTAACCGCTGACCTCAGGCAATCTGCACGCCTCGGCCTCCCAAAGTGCTGGGATTACAGGTGTGAGCCACCGCACCCAGCCTAGGTCAGTGATTTATTCAGAAAGTAGTTTCAGGAAAAACCTGTAATGGAATGAGGGAAACCTGTTGGTTTCAGGAAATGTTGAGCCTCACCCTCATTCCACAGAGGATTCTGGAGCATGAAGTGCACCACAGAAATTGTTCAGCCCAGGTACTGGGCTGTTCAAATTGCACATCAGTCAATTACTGGAAGGTGGGTTATAACCTCCCAGCAGTCTCCAGATGAGGTGACTCCCATAAGCTAAGGTTGATCTGGCTGTTAGCAGTTGTGGGAATGGGTGTACAGTTTAGGTAGAAAAGGGGATCTGGTGGGATATCAACATCTGCTACACACTCAGCTTTAGATCCTCGTTTGTTGAGCAAGGATGGTGGTAATTAGCACTTACCTCACAGGATTGTGGATAACAAAGAATATACATAAAGCAGGAATGATAGCTTTTGTATACTGAAGCTAGGAGGGTCCTGAGTGATTACAGTGAATAATAGTTTCCAAAGATTTATTTTTATTCCTTGATATTGCTTGATACCTGGGTGACTGGGCTAGCTAAAAAGTAAAGAGTTGGTAAGATCCATGGCTTGAAAGTTTCAAGCAAGATATGTTAGTTTTCTGCTGCTTGCTATAACAAGTTACTATAAACTTAGTAGCTTAAAAGAACATAAATTTAATTTGTTAGCATACAGTTCTGTATGTCAGAAGTCTGACATGGATCTCAATGGCCTAAAATCAAAGTGTCAGCAGGGCCACATTCCTTTCTAGAGGTTGTAGGGGAGTATCTGTTTCCTTGCCTTTTCTAGCTTTTAGAGGCTGCCCACATTCCTTAGCTCATGGCCCCTTCCCTTTTCAAAGCCAGCAATGGCCAGTGGAGTCTTCTCATGTTGCATCACTCTGACAGTCTCTCTCCTGCCTCCCTTTTCCTCTTGTAAGGACTTTTGTAATTACACTGGGTCCACCTGGACAATCCAGGATAAAGTCTGCATCTCGAGATCCTTAACTTAATCACCTCATGTAAGTCTCCTTTGCCATGCTTTATTTTTCCAGCTTCATTTTGTAGGGACCATTCCTCTGTGCTTGAATCTTTCTTTGCAGTGAATAAGGTAACATATTCACAGATTCCAGGGATTAGGATGCAGACATCTTTGGGAGGTCGTTATTCTGCCTATTACACAAGAGTTGAAAGACTTTTCTGTAAAGGGCCAGATAGTAAAAAATTTAGGCTTTGTGGGGCGTATGGTCTTGTTACAATATTTAATTCTGCCATTGTAGCAAGAGAGCAACTATAGACAATACATATATGAGTGGGCATGACTGTGTCCCAATAAAACTTGATTTAGGAACACCAAAATTTGAATTTCATATAATTTTCATGTGCCACAAAATATTATTCTTCTTTTGATTTTTCCCCAGTTGTTGAAGTAGGTAAAATCCAGTCTTACCTTGCAGCCTGTACAAAAACAAGGAGCAGGTTGGATTTGGCTTGTGGGCTGTATTAGTTTAGAATATTTTTGTCCTAGCTCATTTAAAGTTTTAAGAAACAATCTTGAATATTTGCAATAATTTCTTTACCATGCTTGGCTGGTTGTCATACATATTGCAGACCTCAACCTTGTGATCTGTACTCCTTCTGTTTGATTTTTGTTCCCTGGGAGAACCACTTTCCTTTTAATTTTTCATGGAAATTGCTGAAGGTAAAATGATGATAGTTGGTCTATGAAAGCTTGTTCCAGTGTGGATGGTAAATTTTTGGAAACACAGGCACAATGAGAAGAATACTGAAATTATATGAGTTAATCAGAGAAAGTAACCTGTGTATTGACATTCCTATTTTTTCCCATTAAACCAGAGTCACTCAGAATATTGTTAACATTTTATTGGAGCTGGCTAGATTGGTTAGAATGAAGAGATAGGTGACAAAGAAGTGTGTAGCATAATAAAATAGAAAGTATTATATTCAGGAGCACCTTGCTGAGGATAGTGTGCCATCTTACAATATATTATGCCTACCTCTGATTTATTGGATGTGATTTTCTCTTTAAAATATGATACTTTTCTTGCTATAATACTCATGCCCCTTGCTGAATGATAGTTGAGCATGAAACACTCATTTTTTTTTTTCCTTTTTTCTTTCTGTTTGTTAGGTCAAGGGGAAGAGGACCCTGGGAGAAAATATTGCTGATAATGGAGGCCTGCGGGAAGCTTTTAGGGTATGCGCTGCTACATTTGCTGTGGTTCTAAAAATCAAGCCATAAAACACCATATGGGTGTCCCTCAATTCATACCACAGCCATGTTCTTGAGGAGTTAGATATTATGGAATTTCTGTAAATAGAAGTGTGTCTCCCTGTTGACCCTATTATATAAATAGAACTATATTTCTTTCTTTTTGGGGTGTAAAGTCACCCTAAAGAATAATATTTATTAAGAATCATGTATTTCAAGAATAGCTTTTAGAAAATACATTCACCATCAGATCGAAGCATGCTACAGCAGTCTCCTTGGGGCTAGGTTCATTTGTTTTCCTGAGTACAGGTGTTTCTGTAGTCTTCCTATAAATTTCTCTGAAAACATCAAACTTCTAAATTATGACCAGAGGGCAGTGGTTCTCATATACTGGGCCAAGTGACAGTTCCTAATAACGTTTTCATCATCCATTAGTTTGTGGTCAAATAAGAAGCATAAGGATAATGCAGAAAGATTTCATAAAGCTAAATGCATTCAATTTAATGACCAGACTGTTATTCCCGGTTATATCCTTCCTATATTCTAGTTGAAATATACTTTATTTTATAAAATGAGGGCACTAGAAGATGATAGTTTTTCTCTTACGTGTCAAAATGAAAAAAGGTGATATGCAGACCCCAAAATGTATTGCCATAGGGGCCTTGCCATTGTATTAGATTTGTTTGTCCCCTGGTAGGAAGAGAAAGAACAGCTTTTTTTCCCCAAGAGTTATTTAATATCTGAACGCTTTGGTCCAGCTGCTTTGGTATACATTGAGCATAAGGCCTTTCTGCAGGTGTACCTGCCTCACTGGTAAGCAATAGGACATGGACTTGTTTCTAGGTGTTTCTTTTCTTAAAGAAAATTTTGACATGATGCATTTTGCACGTGGCAGGAGTAGATATTTACTATTCCTGTGCTAGATGAGAAAAGAGAAAAACCCACCATTGCAGAGACTCATCTCTTCTTCTCTCACCAGGCTTACAGGAAATGGATAAATGACAGAAGGCAGGGAGTTGAGGAACCTCTTCTACCAGGCATCACATTCACCAACAACCAGCTCTTCTTCCTGAGTTATGCTCATGTGAGTAGACTGAGGAAGGGGCATCAGGGATGAGATGCAGGACTTGAATTTGCTCCCTTGATCAAAGATTTCAAAAAGTTTAATGGCATGACTTTGATTTTTAGCAAAAGTTTTATCTTGCTGATTATTTTTAGGGTAAATCTCACCTCCTTAACGTTCTGTAGTACCTAGTTAATTAACTGATTGAATCAAGGTGTATTGGTATTTTTTAAATCAAATGGGTTACTAGCCCTGCGGTGATTCATTTGATAGTTCCTCAATGTATCTTGACTTCTTAATGTGTTTGATACTATTTGTGACCATTTCTAATAACTTGTTCTTTGGCTTTCACGGGCCTGCCCTTTCCTATATTGCTTCTCCTTTGCCTCATTTGCTGACTTTATGCCACCACTCTCAGCCTGTGGGGGACCCTCAGGGTCATGTTCCCAACTATCTAATGCATATGCAGAGACCCTTAGAGCTGAAAAAGAACAAAGGCAAGGAGAGTCATGTCACTCTTTTGTGAGTTTAATAGGCTCTTGGAGCAGAAATTGAAAGGAAGATGTGCACGAAATACAGCACAATTCTGAGTTTGAGTCTCTGGCTAATGAGGCAAGTGCCAAATCTTTATTAGTTATTACACTGGTTCATGTCGTAAACATACAGGCAACCTCTTCAGTCAAGGATAGGTCAATAAAGGTTTTCTAATGAATGGCCTCACAGTGGGCAAATGTGTATGTGTATGCTCAAAGCTAGACAAAAATTTTCATCAGTACAACCTTTTGTTCCTAAGTCTTTGCTTTCACTGCTAAGTAAGCTCATTCTCACACAGGTCTTTGCTCAAAGCTAGACAAAAATTTTCATCGTACAACCTTTTGTTCCTAAGTCTTTGCTTTCACTGCTAAGTAAGCTCATTCTCACACAAGTCTTCTATAATTCACTTTGGTCAAAGGATTCTTGCTTGCCTGGGGTCTTTTATTTCTTAAAGCTAATATAAAAACACTAAATAAATTATTATTTAGCATCCTGATGTCAACAAAACTCTAGTCAACAACATGACTTACCTTTTAGTCTTCCTGTTTCTATCATCTCATCCTCTATTTAGATTTTCCTGGTTAGAAAGCCTGGATTCTTAGGTCTTATTTGATGCATCTGTCCTCATTTTTATAACATGTATTCCAGAAGCCAGATGTTTCATACTTTTTTAAAAAGTATACTTTAAGTTTTGGGGTACACATGCAGAACGTGCAGTTTTATTACATAGGTATACATGTGCCATGGTGGTTTGCTGCACCCATCAACCCGTCATCTACATTACGTATGTCACCTACATTAGGTATTTCTCCTAATGCTATACCTCTTCTAGCCCCCAACCCTCCAACAGGCCCTAGTGTGTGATGTTCCCCTCCCTGTGTCCATGTGTTTTCATTGTTCAACTACCACTCATGAGTGAGAACATGCGGGGTTTGGTTTTCTGTTCTTGTGATCATTTGCTGAGAATGATGGTTTCCAGCTTCATCCATGTCCCTGCAAAGAACATGAACTCATTCTTTGTTACGGCTACATAGTATTCCATGGTGTATATGTGCCACATTTTCTTTATCCAGTCTGTCATTGATGGACATTGGGGTTGGTGCCAAGTCTTTGCTATTGTGAACAGTGCTGCCATAAACATGCGGGTACGTGGCATCTTTACAGTAGAATGATTTAAAATCCTTTGGGTACATACCCAGTAATGGGATTGCTGGGTCAAATGGGATTGCTGGTTCTAGATCCTTGAGGAATTGCCATACTGTCTTCCACAATGGTTGAACTAATTTACACTCCCACTAACAGTGTAAAAGCGTTCCTATTTCTCCACATCGTCTCCAGCATCTGTTGTTTCCTGACTTTTCTAATAGGCTTGAGGTGGTATCTCATAGTGGTTTTGATTTGCATTTCTCTAATGCCCAGTGATAATGAGCATTTTTCCATATGTTTGTTGGCTGCATAAATGTCTTCTTTTGAGAAGTGTCTGTTC